TTCCCTTATATCCCTTGTGTGCTCGAATCCAATGTAACTTAATATAGTGCATTTTATTCAAAACCAGAAAAATATCTTTAATTTCTTTAAAAATGTGATTCTTTGGCTCTGGTCGGGAGAGTGTCGCTAATACAGATAGAGCATCTGAGTAAACATGTATAATATATCTGACTTTGAGTTCAGTTTGGATCCACCTCAGAGCTTCTTTCAGTGCCAAGGTTTCAGCCTGGTAAACAGAATTTAAGGTGTTCAACACGTACTTCTTTTTTTGGATTTCTATTCCGTGAAAATATACAACAAAGGCTGCACCGACACCCTCCTCGATCTCAGAGCCGTCAGTATAGATATCTATATCCCCTTCATTGACAATTATATCATCGTATGGTAAAAAATATAATTCGCTAGGGTTAATTTCATTAATATCATATCTAGACACATAATCTATTTCTATTTCTGTATTTTCACAATGCACTTTTTGTAACAAATTATTGCGCAGTAAAAATTTCTCATGATAAGTCTTATAGTGGATTGAGAGGGGAGGCTCACCAGCAAGCACACACAGAACCCCCGTCGAGACTGTTCTAAAAGCTCTTGTAATGGTCAGCAGCCAACTTCTCTGTAGAGAGTCTAACTTATTTCTAGTTCTAATAAGTTCCCCTGCCCGGACACACCCCATGCGCCGACACCATACATGATTTTTGGTAATATAACATTAAGGTATATTTCTTTTAAAGTGCGACTTTTCCTTCCCAAGATGGTAGTATTAAAGGTATTCAAATAAAAAGTTAAAATCTGTTCAATACTTCTTTGTATGTGTTTAAAATGAGGAATAAAATTCAATTTTGTATCGATTATAACACCTAAATAGCACATATTTTCACCAAATTTAATGTTCTTGTTGTCAAATTTCAATTTAGGGGTCCGTACTTTTATACCACCTCTTGGGAAAAATAGTGCTTTAGTTTTTTGTAAGTTAAATTTAACATTATTGTCCTTACTCCATTTCAAAAAAGTCTCATTTATTTCCCGAAAACTCCTTTCCATTTTCTCTAATGAGACATCGTAGGTCAAGACCAAGATGTCGTCGGCAAAGCAATAAATATCGTTATTCGGCTTTTCTACTAGAATTTCGTTGACTATGAGGTTCCAGAACAGGGGAGCGCTACAGGAGCCCTGTGGGCAACCTTTTCCAATATTATAAGACAGATTACATGTAGAGTTGCCAACTGTAAAGATTAATTTTCTATTACATAAATAGTCTTTAATTAGTTCGAATAGCTGCTTAGTGATATTTAAATTTGAAATTATCCTAAGAAGTCTTGATCTATCAATTGAGTCGAATGCACCCTTTATGTCAAAAGAGACCATGGCCACGTGATATTCGTTTTTATAGGTCCTGATTTTTTTCATCACTTCATAGAGTATTAAGTCAGTTGATCTATTTCTTCGAAAACCGTACTGTTTTTCGCTTAAGTGTTTATCGCGAGTAATTATGTAATTTAATCTTCTAGTAATTAACTTATCCAAGATCTTGGCGAAGGTCTTCAACAAACAGATCGGTCTATATCTATCTTCGTCTTTAGGTATTAAGATCAGCTGACCCTCTTTCCATATCTCCGGAAAAATCCTTAAAACCAAACATTTATTGTATAAAATTAAAAAAAAGGAGGTAAAATATTCAAATAAGCACTTAACAACAATGACACTTATCTTGTCTGGGCCCGGTGCCGAACGATCTCTTAACTCATGAATTGCAATGCAATATATATCTCCTCTATTGTAAAACTTTTCTCTTCTTCTGTTTCGTCGTCCTTTCCAAAGTCCACATCCCCCAGATCTCTCTCCTCGCTCTCTTCAATATTCAAAAGTCCTCTAATAATTTCATCGTATTTATCACTCAACCCAAGCTCTTCCTCATCGTTTCTCTCTCTTCAAGATCTCTTTTCTTTCTTCTTCTTTTTCCCGAGGCAATTCTATAAAATTTGTCATAATATAAGTTATTCCTCAGAAATAGCTCATCTCTATAGTTCCTTTTGACACTTCTGATTCTTTTCCTAAACCAGGCCCTAGTCTTCTTGTAATCCATTTTTCTTTGTATCTTAATTTCTTCAGGAATATCCTTGACCTGGAAGCTTTTCCTAAGAGCTCTGACTCTTCTCTTCAAAGTTGTCAGTTCGTCATTCCACCACCTAACCCTTTCATTTTTATCCTTCCCCTTCTTCTTAATTTTAAGGTATTGATCCATCTTTCTGGTAATAAGGTTCTCAAGACCACGTACCATTTCATTGAGCTCCGCTGCACTTTTCGTTCTACAAATCTTAGCCTCCAGGTCCTCAATTTCTCTTTTGCTGCGCCTGATCATAAGTTGTATTCTTTGTTTGTTTCTAGAATATTTAGGTAATTCTCTATCCTCTATGTGTAAATCATAAAGACTGACCATGATATATTTGTGGTCACTAAGTGTATCTTCTTCCAAAACAGAGTACCCAGTCCTTGCGATATCCATTTCTGAGGAGCATAAAACAAGATCTGTCCATCCAGCGCCAACGGCCGACAAGAAAGTAGGTGTAAAATCCTTAAAATTTAAAATCTTCAAAAATTTAAAATCTTCAAAGAATTGTATATAATAAAATCGTAGGTCAATAGACCCCGAGCATCCAGCTCGTTTGCCCCCCAGTTAAAACTCTTTCCATTAAAATCTCCTAAAATAATAAAATTATAGCTGTATGAATTAAAAACATTCTCCAGTCTATGTAAGTAATCCTCCAGGTTTTCTGCCGGAGAAAAATAAACAGATATAATAGCTAATTTCTTTCCTTCAATAAAAACTGTAATGGCGACGATGCATTCAAAGATATAATCCACTATAAAATCAATGTTCTTATCTATCACTATAATAGCAGCTCTACCATTATTCTGATTAATTGCTCTCCACTCTCCACTAATGTGGGCAATTTTATCTCTTACATAATATGGCTCCTGCAGCGTTACAATATGTGGGGGCTCTTTCAAGATCTTATGAATTGCAGAGAGTTGGCATGCTGCCGCATTACAGTGGTTCAAATTACTGTTTAAAATTTTTAAATTATAAGCCTCCATACAAATCCAAGTTAAAATGAATTTATACAGCTAAAAACCAAACCTTACAATTAAAAACACAATTGTCAAATCTTTCAATAAAATATATATATATATGTACAATTAAAATCAATAAAACACAATATATATATGTGCAATTAAAATCAATAAAACCAATATTTACAATTAAAATTCACTCACCAAATAACACTTCAGTGAGCTAAAAATTTAAGTAAAATATATAATTAAAATCAATCAAGGTAAAACCAAGTTTACCGTAAAATCTCAGTTACCAAACACCTTTCCAAAATATTATTAATGAAATGGTCAAACAATAAAAGAGTTAAAAATACTCGAGGTGAGGGACAAGACTATGTGTACACTCTTCTGGATTACAATATTTAAAAAAAAATATGTTTCCAATCTATTTGCACAACTAAAAATAATTAAATTAAAAGTCCCAGCCGACCAAATATATATAGTAATAATTAAATATCTAAGTGATCCTTTATAAAATTCACTTCCTGAATATACACTGGACATTCTCTCGAAAATGCATCATGATTTGCGTTGTACTTCATATTAAATCTCTTGTTATAATCTGTACAATTTATGCAGCATGCCTCCTCCTCTTTACAATTACCTTTTTCATGAGTTTTCGTACATTTACTACAGGCTGTCGAATTTCTACAATCCTTTTTAACATGGCCAAATGCCAAGCAATTGATGCATCTCTTAGGTCTTAAGAAGAGTCTGGCAGGGTAGGATTTCCAATCTACTAAAACTCTTTGGTCTTCAATGAAGGTCTTTTGACATTCACCAGTCACCATAAAAACCCGGTGAGAAACACATTTCTCAGTGGCACTAATTCTGAAAAGAGGTCTGGTACAGTTGCCTTCACAGTCACAATATCTTGTCAAACTTTGTTGAATCCTCTCATCCTCTACATCATCTGAAACATTATATATAATTAAGCGTGGTCGAATAAATTTTCTCCTTCGAGGTGTGACCACATGATTCAAATTATCGTTCTTTTTTATTTCTCTTTCAAGGGTCTTGCATTCCTCTTTATTGCTCAATTGAACCACCATGGTTCCATCTCTTCTCAAATACGATTTCTTAACTGCTACGCCAATCTTCACCGGGTTAATATTGCATTTCATCTCATCATAGACGTCCACTCCTTCCTTAATTGGTTTTAAAATGATCTCGTTGTCCTCCCTACCGCTCTCTCTCTCTTTTTTCTCTTCTCTTACTTTTCACTTCCTGCCATTCCTCTCTCTGTTCACTTTTTCCATTCATCTTTCCTTTAACTTCAGAGACCTCTTCAATCAAAAAGTTAATTTTGTCATCTAAATCATTGTATTTCTTCTCGCTTAAATTGTCTAAACATCTATTGGATACCCACTCTGTGATAAATAAAATTCCATTACTAAGGGACTCAACAAGAGCCTTTGGGATCCGTTTCTCTTTTAAATTTTCAACAATCCTATTCATCTGTTTAATCACGGAGGCTATATCGTTTTTATTATCCATGACAATTGAGTCCAATGTATCTTCAGTATTAACTCTATTTTGTGACATTGTCGGCGATGGGACTTATAATAATATATTCACATAATTACATGAACATACCAATTAAATCTAAATAGGAAGTTTATATAAAATCACTTTAAATCAAAACACTATTGTCTGTATAAAAAATCTCCAACATTAATAGTACTAATGTAATCTGTGTTAAAAGTTCTCTCTAAAATCTAAAAACTGTCGCTAAAATTAAATTTAAACACAAAATAATACAAAAATTCGAAATTCGTCCATCGGGCGAAAAAAAATAAATAGTCAGTACACCAACTTAAATACAAGTCTTTTCTAACATAAAACTTGAATATCCAATTTTTCAATAATTTTCAGTTGGCCAAAAGTTGACATGCCCGTGGTGCAAAATCACAAGGCTCAAACCCAAACAAAACGTAACTCAAAATTTAAAATACAAATAATTTTAAAAAAAGGCCTTGAAAATGAATCAAATTCACTATGCAGATAGTACAAGGTGTGAAGAAACAAAATATCAAAGCAAAAGTACTTTACCAGATCGGTGTAAAGTAATGCAGGCCAAAACTTCAAGATCGTATGCAAATGAGCTCCTGAGTACACTTGAAATCCTAAAATGCTTGTAAATCAGTCAAAAATCCTCGAATCTTTTAAAATAAGATATCTTCACAAACCGGAAGGCCTGTAGATTTCAAATATAGCACCATTAAACACCAAAAATCAATATGCACAAATATATAACCATTTCTACACAAGCGCAACAAACACAGCAAACATCATGGCCGATAGTTACGGTCAGCATCAATCTTTGTTTGGTATTCGATTTCACCCACTTTGCGTTCGATTCGTGTCCAGTAATGACATTTACTTGGTAGTATGCAATAGTCAAGTTCCAGATAGTATAAATCGCAAGTGCACATTAATATCGCAACAGAGGGAGGGGACCGATGGGTTTCTGCTGTTCTTGTGACGATAAAAACCTTTATTTATATTTTATTCCTCATTTGTTTCCTAGCATCCAAAATGTAATTGTATTCCTTTTAAATTTTTTCAGCCAGATAATGAAATCTTTATAATAATTACTTATATTTGATTTAATTTCGTACTGAAAATTTTCACAAGAAATCTGCTTTTTAATGGAAAACTGCGAGGCAAAATATTTCCAGCCATCTCTCATTAAGCACGGCAAAAGTCCCGTAAAAACTTAAAATACTAATGAAAGTCAAATGGCCCTTTCTAAAATAGATAGCAATGTGCGTCTGCAAATTACGTTCCCGGATCCGCATGCCATCTTCGTATTTTTGAACAATCTCCTTTTTCGCTTCCATGGGGATCCTAACAATTTTATTCCTTGCTTAACTCTTCTCATTAACTTTTATAAAATTCATTGTCAATAAATTTACACACTTGAAAATTCAGAGATATAGAGCGAGTTAAGTAACAGCATTTGTGTTTATTAATTAACAGCAACAGGTGTATTGATTATAGTAGCATTGCCTTCAAAGGAGGTGAACAAATGCAGCCAACGCAAGGCCCACCAGCGCCCGAGCAGTCGCTGAACACTGGTAGTTCGGTTCGAGGTTCGAATCCCGCGAACGGGCTGGTTGCATGGGCGTTTTCGTAGTTTTCCCCCAAGTGTAACGTGTATACGATCCAGTTTCCCTTAGAAAGTCCTCCATGAAGGCATTCCTCCCTTTAAGCATATAGCCCTCGAGGCTTTGCCATAATCACACACACACACACGCAGCTCACGCAATCTTCATTCATTGAGTCGTATACCAAACAAAATTTTCGCGTCCAAGGAGGACGAATAGCAAGCTGGAAGTATTTCTAAGCTCAAAATTGATCCTGGTTGTATGATTCTTAGTCAACACCAAGAACGCATGTACTAACACAATGGCAAAAATGAAATTGAAGTGTTTTGTCGAATACTACTGAACAAAATTCAAACCGAAACTTTTAATAACTAAGCAATAGTAATTAAGCGATATTATATCTCTTTGCTGAGAATTTACTTCACTTTTACTCTCTAACAGCAATATCATAATCTTGACACTTTATAATAATGCTAATACCTCTATTTCTCGTTTGTCTCCTCACTTAAGTGGCATACGATATGCAACTTATGCACATCCGAATGCTCCCGTCTCAGCACTTAAATCGCTTGGTTCTGTTTTTGCATATTATCTAAAAATCATATCCAAATAAAGATAATCACTAGACATTCCTCTTCTTTTCTATGTCACCAGACTAAATTTATGTTATTACGATTAGGTTAATTGATTAAGGCAAAGCAACTCGAAGGCTGTTTGCCAGTGTGAATGTGATGCCTTCGTAAAGGACTTGCTAAGGAAAACTGGCTCGTATCCACGTTACATACGAAGACGTACAATCACCCTATTCGCCGGGATTCGAATCTATGTTGAGCTACCACTGTTCAGCGACTTTACCGCTCGCCTGCTGGTGGGTCTTTCTGTTATTACACATATATAATCATATTATAAGAAAAAGAAATCTTCAGACTTTTTTACGATAAATTAAATATGTCTCTAGATGAACCATACGTCACGACCTATACTTGAAGAAGCAGTGTTTTATTGTACTCGATTTCGATTTCGCTTTAGCGCGCATTAGTTGATTGGATTAGTTAATCGCCTCATGTTAGTTATATGGTATTTTCTCCCTTCTTTCAGCATGCCTTCGTGGTGTAATCGTAGCACGTATTCGAGAGGTCCAGGTTCGAATTCCGACGACGGCATTGCTTGTTTTTCATGTCTCTTGCTTAAAAATAACCTAATGAATCTACAACATAAGGTTTTTCAGCAGTACGAGACATACTTTTTTAACTACAATTAAACAAAAGAAGTTGTTTTTAATTATTTATTAACAAGCAATAAGTTTTTTTTTTTTTTTTTTTTTAATTTTCCCCAAATCAAATTAATTTTTATTTATACCAGCCCCAATGTTAAACCAGTAATTTTCTTTTCATTTTTACCTCATTAAATATAAAGAATGAGCTACTTTTTTATTTGCGTAAATAAAATCATAATTTATGTCTACATGTGAGCACTATTCTGTGAGTGACGTGCCGCTCTGATTTCCTTGAAACAGAATAGCAGCTAATAGGATGATATATGTCTATGCATGTATACGAAGTATTTTTATAATCTACACATATTCAGTTTCATCTGAAAATTTTTCCACATGTACTTTGTAAATATCCGATAATTTTGCTGGGAAGGATTTCTGCGCCATGCAGGTATAAGGAAAATTAAAGAGAATTTTATTCACCAACTAATCGATAGGTCTCGTGTATATTTGCTAAATTAATTTAACAACCCCTTAAAAATTGTTGTATATTAAAATATTTGTACTTATTTGTTTATAATTTAGTTTTAATACGTATTTGTGTAGTGTTGTCTTTATTTATTTAGTGTATATTGCAGTAAATTTATATTTATTTATCTTATATTTTACTTAATTTTGAATTTGGGTTCACTTATTCTTCATGCATAATGTTAAAGAATTTTAAATACTAAACCAATTGCGCGGAAATTGTAACTCAAGTGAAAAAAGAGATAAAGCCATAAACACTACTATTTAGCGACATTCTAGAAGTTTCTGGGAAAGCGTTTTCGATGCTCTAGGAGCGATTTTTTTTTGGGGGGGGGATGATTCGAGAGGTGCTTACGAGACTTTACCTTGAGCAACTGTGGAAATAAGAGACTGTGAGTGGCCGTGAGTCAGTTGAATCGAGATGCTTGTCCCTTTTATACTCATAAGCTTTCTGCTTTTTAATTGTGGCTTTACACTTGTTCTGGAACGATATTTTGATCTCATTGATATTCTTCGAGAATTAAGGCGAATCTTTCCAATTGTTGTTTTTCTCCTTTGTTTATTTTGCTATAAGAGCTATTATTTATCTTAAAAGTTTTTAGGGATCTTAAGAAGATCTCTATGAACAAAGAAGCACGCAAAGAAGACGTTTATGCAATCCAAACGGATATTTTTTTATCAAAAAAGGTCACTTTTCGAGTAGTATCTGAATGGTTATAGTCCGAGAAGCAAAGTCATTTAAAAAATATGATTTCCTTCTTTAACTAATTAAAGTTTAATGATAAAAACAGAAATTAATCAATAATTCTTCCATAAAAGATTGCATTAACAATATAATTATGTGTCTGATTAAAGGAGCCAATAAAAGAGAGTTATTTGTTTCCCACAGATGTGCCTTTCTCTATACTTGACTCCTAATATTCTAGCTGATTTTCCAGGCATAATATTGTCCGTCTGATAAACCATTTCATTATACGTTTAACGCCTGATAGCGCTGGCAACTTATCTGATTCTATACATTTGCATTTAGCACAAGAGGTCGTAATTTTATTTTACGTTAGTCTTAGCATTTAACAGTTGCTTGCAAATAAAATTGTAAGGAATTCTAAACTTAATTTATAAAAATTAAGTGTAACAAATGCTTTCACTTCAAAATTTGTTAATACATCTGCGCCCAAATTTCTACCACATTTGTTCAACTGCTCTAGATTTTGACAGGTCTAGATTGTCAGCAGAATCTTTCCTATATTATGTTACATTACGATGCCTGTTTCTCATTTATAAGATACTATCCACCGAGAGAATGAGATTTACTATCCACCGAGATAAATCACTGTACGATACATTAAAGCTTTACTTTATTTCCCACGGCTAAATAAATAGACATTTTCCAGAAAGATGCCATTTGACATGGCATTGAGATATTTAACAAATTAACATTGCTTGCAAATTACAACTGGTTGACAAATAAAGTGATTTAAAAAAAAAAAAAAAAAAAAAAAAAAAAAAAGCCGCACTTAAAAATAATTTAAATCTTTATTTTATTTTTTAATAGTATACCAAATTAGTGGAAACTAAAATTCATTTAATTTGCAATGTATCCAACTTATAATTATAGACATTTGCAGCATTATTTAAATTAATGAAGGAAAAAGTTAATTCCATATATTTCATCCTCCCCTAAATATTTGTTTTTCTTTAAAATGACTTTAAATGGTTCATTTTAAAATTTTTAATCACTGCACTGCTCTATCATGCATTTATCATCAAAATGTTGTCATTGCACGAAACATGAGATCTTTGATTTATCGTTCATTTGCCCTCGCTTATTTGCCAGCCAGTTCTCCAAGTGTTTGCTGTTCGGTAAAGCGTAAGATCCTTAACTTATCGTCTGCATTTTAAAGACATATGTACCTTTGAAGGGCCGTTTCAAAAATTATCATGTTTCCTGAAATCCTGATGATGTTAAACCTCTGTGAATTAAAATGTTAATTAATTTTTGAAATAATAGCCTTAAAAATCATGAACAAAATGTACCGGAAACTAACAATCATTATAAAACAAAAATTACACAAATGGTTAAAATTTCTAAAGCAATGGAATGCAGAGTTTAAAAAAAAAAAAAGTTTTTCATGATTCGAAAAATTGTCAAAATTTGATTAAATTATCAAAATCTTTGATTAGGAACCTATTAATACTAAGTAATTACGACAAGAGTAAATGCAACTAAAATACTGGTTTTTATTTCGACCTGAGGTTACAAAAATTAAAGCATTAACAGAAACACCCCCTTCTTGCATTCAGATTATGCAACACTATTTCAGTTATTCACAGAACAAATATCAG